GTGTGTGTGTGTGTCAATCGCATGAGAGGAAGTACCTGGGGTGAGAAATGCGCCTTTATCGTATAGGTCTCTGTGGTCTAGTAAAATGACAAGATAGTAAGAGGCTGCAAGTCCGAATCCCACCAGAAAAACTTTTTTTCCTATACAATTGAAAAAGGAATTTTCGTCGGCAGCCATCTTGAAATTCAATATGGAGGCCATTTGATATACTACCGTATCTGATAATTACTGATACTCTCTGGTATTGAAAACATGATTTGTTTGACTGTGTTATTTTGTGTAGATATGAAGATTGACAAAATACCAACATTTTGGAGGCCATCTTTAAATTCAATATGGTGGCCATCAGATATAATTCTGATGATTGCATGATACTCTCTGATGTTAAAAACCTGTGTAAAGACCTTTCCTGCAAAAGTGCACGATTACCTCCTTAGCCGCTCTACTTACAAACCTTCTATAATCAAGGTGTTCTAAAGAGCCATAATGAGTGGAAATGTTACGGGTATGAACATATATATTTCTTCGGGATTTAACCATTGTGCAGGTGTGCAACCTCAACGCCCCCTAGGAAGTAGAAAGAATCTGACATCAAGCGTCATAAAACTTGATATGATCACACTGAATCATGTACCCTAATATTATGAAACAAATTCACTTGATCCAGGTGTTCATGCAAACACCTGGGATGACGTATTATAAAAATACTCATTTAGAGCCCCGGCCTGAATTTCTTTACGACATATAAAATAACACTATGGAAATCACAACATAAACATTACACGTAACAGCCTATCGATATGTGGCCGCCTACTTCGAAGAAGCAATTGAAAAATAATAATTAGGATAGTTTAATTTATTATAAAGTGCTTATTAAATTGAAATTATCAATCATAGTTTTGTTATAATTTGTGTATTTTTACAGTAAATAAAAAGTGGATTTATCGTCAATATACAATAACACTTGATCGAGTTTGAGTTCTCTGGTTATGATAGAGGGCGCGTATACTGTTAAATGTATTTGAAATGGCTCGTCTACGGTGGAAAATAATGAATATAATATCCATACCCCGATAGGTAGACACATGTACCGCGACGTTATAATAGCTGATACAGTAGGTACCACAATGATTATTTTATGGTTCGACTCGAAATATGCATTTGTTTTATCACTACTGTATTATGAGACATAGGTCCAATATATTTTACCATTTGCTCCCCTTCAAACCTGGAACGATGAACTAGGACTACTTAAAGTTGTGTAACTATTTTGATTATAGTTAGTGAACATAATAGGTCAATAGAAAGCTCTCCAATTCACCCCCACTCCTCTATAAAAGTAAATCGGTTCCAACGACATTATAACCACGGTAGTTTATAGGATCTTATAAGATTCCAGTAAGTCAATCACAGGAAGTCGCGCACTTAGATTCATGACAACCAATCAAGTCGCACGACGTAGGTTCATCACCTCCAATCGCAGGAAGTTGCGCGCAGTAAATTCATGACAACCAATCAAGTCGCACGATGTAGGTCCATCAAGACCCAACCCCCTCCCCATCACAGGAAGTCGCGCGCAGTAAGATGCCTGATAACAAAAATTAAGTTGCACGATGTAGGTCCATCACCCCCAATCAGGAAGTCGCGCGCAATAGATTCATGACAACCAGTCAAGTCACATAATGTAGGTCTAACCCCCAATCACAGGAATTCGCGCGTAGTAGATTCATGACAACCAATCAAGTCGCACAATGTAGGTCCAACCCCCCATCACAGGAAGTCGCGCGCAATAGATTCATGACAACCAATCAAGTCGCACAATGTAGGTCCAACCCCGAATCACAGGAAGTCGCGCGTAGTAGATTCATGACAACCAATCAAGTCGCACGATGTAGGTCCATCGCCACCAATCACAGGAAGTCGCTCGCAGTAGACAACAATTTAACCAATCACAGACATTCTCGCTGTTTTCATAACAACCAATCAAAGGAAGTCGCACGCTGAGGTCTATCACAACCAATTAGATAATGAAGAGATCAGCATTTCAAAAAACAAATCAGACGATGATTTATTTAAATACGACCCAAACGAATAATACGTCAAGATAAGCGGCGTTTGTAGAATGAAATAGACCATACAAAAATATATCATAATTAGTTTACTCATAGTTTATCATCTTTTACTTAAAGTATTTTTAAGACGAAAGTATCACTTCTATTATACTTTGCATTTAGGAATAATGTATATTAGGCTTATTGCTGTTACATGTATTGTTACATTGTATTGTGAGTGTTGTCGCATTATGGCTACAGTGGCCCTCCTGTAAATGTACATCACTAAAGGCGCACGTACCAAAACATGTATGTATCCATCATGTACAGTTTACTAAAATAAATAAATCTAAAAATAAAATCGAGAAGAAATCTTATACTAAAAATTACCTGCATCGTCTTCATAAAGTAACGTCAGCGTGGTCCAATCGTAGAACTCTATCAAATCTAGGATTGCTTTACTGAAGAGATTATTGTCGGGCATCATGTTTAAAATTAATTGTTTCTCAGATCGGTACGGTGCCCATTTTGTATCAATATATGGTATTCCTAACGAACTGCACACTGTTTTCACTTTAAATGCGTTGTACGATGTCGACGGTCCGATCAAAGAGATCATCCCTCCTTTATGTTCTAAACACACTGCAAGTATAAAATGGAAATTAATCATCTATCTCATTTTTTTATGATGAAAGAATGGTTATCATAGCTGTTATCGCTGGGGAAGAGCACAGGAGTGCTCGAAATATTCGATCAAATATATTTTGTCTATATAATGTCATAATACGGTTATGTATATATATATAGTACTAGATGTGTATAAGAGACAGTATATATATATCCAGGATTATATTAATTAATTCAAATAAATTCATCGTTATTATTCAATATAATATTCAAAAACAATTTGTTAATGACTGTTGAGTGATTAATCAGCAGCGCTGTAATCGTACTGTAATATTTTGAAGAGAGGGACACGTCATGTATGTCCTTATAATCTAGTTATAAAGACGGTTAGACGTTACAAGACCAGGAGGCAATTTATTATTGGTGGATATGATACGTCGCTATTTTCCCCCGATAAAATAGAAAAGTAAAATAGTCCGAATACACTTCTTTTTTTTTCAGTAAGGACACGTTTTATAGGAACACCGAGGCTGAAATTGCTTTAAAAGAAAGATTAAAGTAAGACCAAATTGTGGCTGAGGTAAAATGTCAAATTCTTTTTTTTTATTTTTCTTCAAATAGAAAACAAAAAACAAAAAACCAAAAAAAAAAAACAATGTACACTAGGTGTGACTATGTATACCCTCTATAAACAGATCATTAATATTCTGCTATTCAATAATAATTTTCTATCTTTGAAGAATGCAGGTTATGTATATGCACTGAGAATGTGGCACCAGTGTCCTCATTCTCTCAAACCATACAACTGGTCATGTGACAAGGGGATAAACTTACCCTTTTCTTTAAAGTCTAATATGTTCTCATCTGGCTGGAGGTAAATCGTATCCCCTTCAATGCTTGTTTTGTTAATTGCGTATTGGAACATAAACTCTTCATCCGTACCATTATCTCCGTCTTTGAATACAGCCCCTGCAGGTAAAAAGAATGTTGTCTTAGAGACTTTGACATCAATTCATTATAACTACCATAATATCAGATTGGATCTGTCAGCTATTTAAATATAGTAATTCATAAATGCACAACATCTGAAACAATATGATTTTTTTATGTGAACATTTAAGGAAGTCAATATCGTTGCAGTACATGGCGTTATTAAATTATGTGTATAAACATAAGAACAGACGTTTACACGCAAACAAAAAAATCCTATCACGAGTTAGTAACGTACATACACATTTTGGAATATAAGGTAGTAGATTGAATGGGTCTGATTTTTTATTATCGCATTTCAAACTATACATTCAATAATTGGTCTGCATCAAAGTAGGCCTGTATTTAGATTAAAATGTAATCACCTTTATATATTTTAATAGGGAGCTCTGGCCTAGATAGAAAATATTTTCGAGATATTAAGTGATGACGCGTTATTGATGTGAGTAACGCACTTTTCATGTAGCTCTTGTACCAGATATGTTTGAACATACTGATGTATCACCTGGAGGCCGATAGACGCAGTCCGTCACTCATTACGCGCTTGTTCAGTTCGACTTTCACCGTTTGTTATTTTACTGACAAACGACCGTTGTGATAACACGCATATTACTCGGCAGCTGTGGCTAAAGGAGAATCATTTAGGCACGACCTACTGCTCTTCTGCCATAAACTAAACACATATTCAGTTGTTAAATTATATTACATGTTATTATAAAAGATTTTAATAAGCCAACATATGAGATGCATCTTGGGACCCTGTAGTCTTAAGTCGTCGAATCACTATGGATAATCCGGAATGTGGCGAGAGATCTAACTTTTTGCAAATAACTTAATTCAGTTTTAGATTAGATTAGATCTAATCCTCTAATCAATTTGAACTAGTTAAGTTTACTTTCACCACATTTTAAGGGCATATGAGGTTAGGGTGACATATGAATTTCAACACTCGCTTTAAAATCTTTTCTCCGTAACGTCCATAGTGAATTCGGTACTTTCCATTTCGATTTTCATAAACAGGGGAAATTACTGTCAGGTGAGGTGTGGGAATTTAAGATTTATGAGACGGAATCCCTGTGCCACCGGCCGTCCTCTACTTCTAATATACTTTTGGGTAATACTAAGGTATAAAACATCACAGTAGCTTTTTAAAAACAATATGGCATCAACAATATAAATACCATAACTAAATTTACAAGTGGTTGCTAAGACTGATGCTGGAAATTTGCAATACGAACGCACCAGCAGTACCGTACAAACCTCCCAGAAGTACGAAAGTGCAACAGTGCGATATATTAACAGTGACATTTCTGAAAGTCATTTCAGCAAAGTATGGCTGATACCAAAAAATAATGCTTTTCGTCCGCTAATGATAGTCGTTATTTTGCTAAAAACCCACAGACACGCTCATCAAAATGCGATACGTTCAGACGTTATCAGGAAAGCTTTTCCAATGTGAATATATTGATGACACTCATTTCCAATCATTAAATTGGGAAATTAAAGCGAATGTACAATCATCTCGTCTTCTATTATAGACTTATAGACGTGCTGTTATTACGTTATATGATGCTTTGTACATCAGGCCTAATGCGTTTGCGTATCAAGTGTACGAAGATGAATCGCACGTTAATTAGGAATTAAAGTTCAGTCATTTCGATGATGGTCGATTTATTAAGAATAACGAATGGCGAAAACGATAGCAATCATAACTATATCAATTTATAATACTGAAATACCTTTACAATGGGCCACTACACTATCCAATGGACTGGGATAAACGCAAAATAATTCGCATTTACACATCAAGAAAACAGTAGGCTTTTGATGAAATGCAATATTAATAAATAATTATTGGGGATTCAGTTATTTGTTACATACCAATTACTCCTCCTCCTCCTCCTAGCATATTTGCAACACCATGTACATTACATTTTATCTGATCAAATTATATTATATATAAATTTTATATTTTATATTTGATTTTTATGTTACTATTTATTTCCAGCCGTACATCCGAAGTTATCTGGCTTAACACCATCTCCAGGCGCCCCATTCTGTAATACAATGCACCTGACGGTTATTTTAATCTGTTCAACCATCAAGAAGTCTGTGGTGTAATGGTTATGTCGCTCGCATTAACAGCGAGAGGACGTAGGGTCGAATCCCGACGGAGGAATTTTATTACATAATGTCTTTATAGCTGTCATTCAAACACTGTATTATCTTTCTTTGATTGATGATTGATAATACAGCCTACATATCAAGTTATTGAGATTTTTGTAATAACCAATTTGTACTTCGTTTGTCGCACATA